GATCCCATACTGACTTGCATCCGTAGTGACTACGAAGGTCAGTTTGGGATCTGCAATGCGGAGTACCGGGTAACTTACCAAGGCTTCCTTGAGAGTCCGAAAAGCTTCTGTACACGCAGCATCCCAGGCATAAGACACATTCTTGCTGGTTAGTCACGACAATGGACGAGCAATAATGGAGAAACGGGGTACAAACTTCCGATAGTACGATGCGAGTCCAAGAAAAGAACGCAATTCACGAATGTTCACAGGCTGAGGTCAGTCACATATGACCTCGATCTTGGTTGCCTCAGGCTCTAGGCCTGCAGCAGACAACCGGTGCCCAAGATAGATGACGTTATCCGTCCCAAACTCAGATTTTTCCCAGTTGAGATGGAGTTGCGTCTTCTTGAGGACGGCAAGTACCTCCTCAAGATGCTTGAGGTGTTCCTCCATGGACTTGCTGAAAATCAGGATATCGTCCAGGTACACTACCACGAACCGGCCAAATTGTTCGCGGAGGACCTTGTCCATGAGGCTTTGTAACGTGGTTGGTGCGTTCGTAAGTCCGAAGGGCATTACGGTGAACTGATAGAGCCCGTCGCGCATTTTGAACGCAGTCTTGTGCTGGTCCGCAGGATCGACTTCAATCTGGTGGTAGCCAGACTTGAGATCGATCTTGGAGAAAACCTTGCACCCGCCTGCAGCATCAAGCAAGTCATCTATACGCGGCAATGGGTAAGCATTATTTCTAGTGATGCGGTTTAAACCGCGATAGTCAATACACATGCGGAGTTTGTCTCCTTTCTTTGGCACAAACAACACAGGAGCACCAAATTCAGATTCGCTTGGTTTGATCCACCCTTTGTCAATCATCTCATCGATCTGCCGCCGGAGTTCCTCCAACTCGCCGGGTCCCATACGGTACACGCATCCCTTTGGAGGAACTGCACCCTCGACCAACTCGATGGTGTGTCGGACCGGTCGCGTGGGGACTGCACGTGGCTCAGCCAAGACTTCCGGAAACCGATCGAGGAGGGCTTGAATGTCTGATGGGACAGGTGGGGGTGGGGAATCAGTAAAGGGATCACCAAAGTCCGGTCGCAAGTCGCGTACAGAGACGACCGAATCTGAAGTAGGATCATTTGGACTATTAGAGGGTAGAGAGGTAGAGGTGTTAGTAGTAGAAGTACTAGAAGTAGGATCATTAATCAAAGTAGTCGTGGTACTGGCCGCAAAAGTAGAAGGCACATGAGCAGGACGAACAAAGGCAACATACAATTGTTTTTCCTTTTTGTGCTTGCGCCATTTCTTGCAGAACTTCAATGCATTCAGAAAAGTCACTGGGGATTCGTGCTTCTCATCCAAAAGGACAGGAAGCTTGTTCCCCTGAGCATCTTTGACCATGAAGAGTGATTCCTTCCACTTGGTCCATTCGCATTGGGACTGCAGCCAGCCCAAGCCAAGGACAACGTCGAAGGGGCACTTGTCAAGGACAAAGAAGTTCAGTGCATGGGTGACAGTCTTACCTTTGTCAAAGGTAGTGCGCACACCTTTGACTGCATGTGTTGAAGAGACAACTTCTTCATTGCCAACTGGGGTCCGGCAAAGGTTCTGCAGGGCCACTTGCTTCATCCCCAAGCCCACCTTGCGTATCCCATGTGGTGACATGAAATTAGCTATAGCACCACAATCAACTAACACACGGAGATAGCGGTGGTTGATGAGAAGTTTAAAGAAGATTAACTTCACCGTCCCTTGGGCCCGCTGCTGTTTCATTTCAGCCCAATGCTCCAAGTGGTAGWGGAAGTCAATCATCTCAGACTCCTCCCAAGGCTCGTCATACAATACGTTACTTACCGCAGCCTTGTCTTCAGCAGATGGTTGGGCTTCAAGGGAGGGTTGCTGATCTTCAACAGAACCAGCCTCCCTTGCCGTAGAGTTTGCTAAGTCCGACTCTACGCCCGATTCCGGTTTCCCTGCAGCCTATAACATTCCTGAATTTTATGGTTTTGCTTTTGGCAATGCAGGCAAACCCCCTTCTTGAGTCTGCCCCGCCAGTCATTCTCAGTGATCCGGAGGTCAACCCACGGTTTGGTAGATGCATCCTCCGRTTTAGGCGGGATCTTAACTCCTTTGGGAAGTTGGACATAACTCTTTCCGGCACTCCGATTCGGTCCCTTAGTGTTGGCAGTCTTTTTAAAAGCAGAAAATTTTTCTTCTTCATTGTTTGCGTCGGACTCATGGGCTGAAGAACAAGCTGTATCGGAGTCCTGTTCTTGGTCGTCACCAAGAGTGGGGTCAACCGCATCGGCTTCTCCTTCGGCCTCCARCAGGTCATGCACAGCAAAACGGTTGCTGCCCTTGAACCGTCTGCCGCCCATGGGCTTCTTGCTGCCTGCCGTGCTAACGAGGTCCATGGCCTCCAGACTGACTCCATCCTTCATTAAGGCAAGCCAGTCAGTATAAGCAATGTAGTCCCTGCCCAGGCGACTAGTGAAGTTAGTTAGAACCGCGCCCTTGACCACATCCAAGCAAGATTGCGGGGACAATTCCAAACCGGGAGTGGCAAACAGCTTGGTTAGATAGGTCTGCAGGCTTTTCATGGAGCCATTCCACTTGCTGTGCTTTACTTTATCCAGTTGAATTGTTGCTTTAGCAGCAACATGTGGATCTTGGTATTCTGAGGTAAGGAGTTCTTCGAGGGAGGCAACCGGGGTGGCCCTTAGCCATTTGGCCAATGCAGCCTTTGGAAACCCAGCCCGCGTTGCTTGGACTTCTAGGAAGCCCCATACGACTGGCTCGACATTCATACCCATGATGACCACCTGGGTCTCAGCTTGAGTCCCCAGGATCTCAAAGTAGGCCCTCATGGAGCCGATCCAGGACTCGATGTCTTCCTTGCCATCGTACTTGGACGGTATTTGAACCGCCTTTCGGTCCACATAGGGACCAGCATGGCTGGGACCAGCAGCAGCTGGTTCCGGTCTTGGGGCTGCAGCAGTTGCAGAAGTTCCAGCCTCATTGCTTGTTACAGCAACAGTGGAATCTGCACCTGCTACAGGTCCTGAGGAAGTTGCCATCACACTCAAAGAAGAGGTAGAAGCAGATACAGTAAGAGGGGCAGAGGTAGTTTCGATTGCAGCTTCAGTTCCAGGAGGTAGAGGAAGAGGGTAGGCCACTTGGGCTTGTCGCAGATCCGCCACCTCCTTTGTCAGTTCATGGTATTTGAAGGTCATCTCAGTCAGATCATCCTGAAGTGTTTGCAGTTTTGCAAAAACTTCGGCGATCTGAGTGGTATGGTCCTCAAGATTCCTGATTTGAACAAAGGCTGTGAGGATGGACTGCAGCTGTTCCCCGCACTGCTCTTCAGTCAGTGAGGGAACAGTCTCTAGGAGGGCTACTTGCCTTTTCAGCAAGGCCTCCTTCCTCTCCTTCTCTGACTCCTGTTCCCGTTTTGTAGCACCATCTAAGAGTGCTTGCAGATGTGGTTTCTCAGCATCACCGGTTGCATCTAACAAGGTCCGCCATTGTGTTGAAGTTAGCTGAGACATCTTGGGACTGTCAGTGTGAGCAGGTGGATCAGAGAGTCGCCAATCAGCAAAAGAATCAATCAGACTCTCAAGAGGTTCACTCCCCCTTTCGCTTAGACGAACACTCCTTTTCCCAGTCCTTGCCCACCTCAGACTATCACTTTCCCTCTCTCCCTGTTCTCTCTCCCTCCTCTCTCTTTCTTCTTTCTGATTGCGAGTCTCCACGGGCATCGGAAATGAACTCGGAAAAACAGATAAAGCTCAGAGAATAGAAGGTAGAACTCCTAGCCGGAGCGGCATTTCATTTGTAAGTAGAGAACAGCAGAAGAAACAATCAATAACTCAAAGAGAGGTCTGATCCAGCGACCCAGTCTGATCAGACTGCATACGAGGTCCTCTCGAGTCTTGTCTGACCAGCCCCGTGTCCGTACACCAAATCAGACAACGAGTAACTAAATGCAACAATGGAGAATTGAGTGGTGTACTGGGTGCGAGTCAAGCCACGGACGGCGCAATCACAATACAAGCGAAACGTCAAAGCCAAGATCCCCTTGGCAGTGGGTGTCCTAATCCAAGAAGAATGAACTCATATCTCAGCCAAGAAGACAAGAGGTCAGATGCCTAACCGATTTGGGTCCAGGGGCTCTCCTTGTTTGGGCCCGGTCCCGCTGGGTCCCAAGGGTTTCGCTTGGTCCCAAGGGTCCCACGTATGTCTCAACCAGGTCCCAACCAAGAGGAGTCCCACCTGAACTTAGTTCAGTCTCTACTGCACTGAAAAACGAAATTTCAACTTATGGCAAAACCTACAGACTACAACCGTTCAGTGATGAAAAGACAAAGCACTGTAGAAAGACTCAGCATGTATAACAAGATACTTCATTTTCCATCCATCAGGCGAGTAGGTAGATCACATGCATTCAACCACACAATCAAGACCATAGAGGAGCAGGAAAAGAAACCCAGAGTACCCCAACAGGTCAATCAATACCATACACACATACATGGGCATCCCGTAGGTGCACGACACTTACCCGAGTGGCCTTGAGCTTCGAGATGAAAAGAACTCACCCCCCTTCTCATATGGTCCTCCTGACCCATCTAACGCTACCCCTACACTAGTGTCCTATCTCCTAGGAGGGTCTGACTCCAACACCCAAGTGCAACGCCGGATCCCCCGTCGATGCTGAAGATCAAAGCAGCAACTTGCAGTCCGTTGGTGCAGAATGGCCGCTGACCCTCAAGCTCGCCTACTTGCGAGTGCCTCTCACTGTCGCCTCTCTCAAATCGCCGCATGAAGTCTCCTCGAAATGTCTCGCCACCCTAATCTCACTCTCAAGCAACCTGGTTAGGGTCTATGTTGACCTCACATGCCCTAAGCAGGTGGGGGCAGCTTCCCTTAGCCACGCTGCCCCACTTCCCTCAACCATCCAACCCTAACCTCAAGTGTTGTCCTCAACCACTTAGGTTAGGGTTAGGGTAGCAAAGTCAACTCTCACCAGCAAGTAGAATCCGCTCTGATACCAATGTTAAGACCCTGGCCAATTTTGAGATACACATCCACTGAGAAGTACAATGCCATCCAATTGCAGAAAGAAATGAATGAACTTGAGAGGAGAGAGAGGAGTAGAAGAAGAAGAAGAAATGAGAAAGAAGAAGAAGAAGATGTACACCAGCAAAGATGATGA